ATATTTTTTTATATTATTATTTTTTCCACATCATCACTTTTTGGCTATATTATCTTACACGTGGATCACTGCATGACATGTCATTTGGTAACTGTGAAATAACAGGCGACGTCATACAATTTTTAACAGAAGGACCAAATCGGGGTAAAAATGGTAAACAGTAGGGACCAAATCAGGGATTTTTTTAGTTTAGGGACCAAATCGGGGTTCCGTACAATAGTTCAGGGACCAAAAAGGGGTTTTAACCTTTTTTTAAAACAATTTATAATTATTTACAGGGATAATTAGAAGAGGAAAAAAAAAATTTTGTGAGGTTTAAACGTGCAACCCATCAAAAGTAAACAATTCTAACATAAAGTTCAATATCACTATAATGAAGCGGATACTAATGGTGCTGCTCTTGATCAATTATAGCATGCTATATTAACAATTGTTTTTCCACCTCTGCCACCAGGTTAGCAAATTTTTTTTTTTTTAGGTACAAAAGATGCCCATAACTGTATATTTACTTATTTCGCTTTTTCTTTTTCTTTTTTTTTTTTTTTTTTTTTTGGGGGGGGGGGGGTTAATCTTCATAAGTTCATAACCATAGGCTTACGAAAAATAAAACTAAAAAAAAGTACATGAAAAAGAAAAAAACAGAAGGGTAGTTTAGTCAAAACGAGGGGCCACTTTTACCAGTACCCACCCAAATACGGCGATGACTCTGTAGGCTGTATGCTTTACAGAAATTATTTTTTGCAGTTTCACAGTAAGAGCAGTTCCCACTTGCCAAAAGCAGAACCGAAAAAAGGCAAAAAATCATACCGTACCAAGCAAAACAACGTGCTCTGTTTCTCTTTACATCCATCTTAGTCCATTTCTTCTGTCCTTCAAAGTTCAAACCCCCTTAATTCTCCCTCTTTGTCCAAAGTTCCCATCTTTCTTTCTTTGTCCTTCTAAATTCTCTCTCTTTCATCCCTATTTCCATTTCTTCATTCTTAATCTACCGTTTTACATTCCTCTACCAGAAACAGGGAAAAACAATAAATGTTATCTTCACCAACTCTTCCTCTGCATTCTCTATGAGAACAAGAATTCAGGCTTGAGTTCAAAATCTCATTTGTTGAGCTATGTTTTCTGAGCTAATTTAGCTAAAGTTTCTTCATTTAGTCTAATTTTTGCTTAAGTTTTTTTTTTCCTCAACCAAAATAGTTTCTTCTATTGACCCAAGTTTCTTGATCACATTCTTTAAGTTGGGTTTTGATTAGCTTTAAATTTCGATATTGGAAATAGGAAGGATGAGTACTTTGAGGTCACATTCCATGATTCTAAGACTGTGCTTTCTTGTGCTTGTTCACATCCCTTCTTTGTATTCATACCCGGTACCCATGGACTGTACGGATACGGGACGGTTATGCACTTCCTTTTTGGCATTCAAGCCTCAAGAGAACCAAACTCTAGAGGTGATTCAAAGCATGTTTGATGTTTTACCTCAAGATATAACTGTTGAAGGGAGCAGCTATGACTATGTTTTCATCAGGAAGAACTGTTCTTGCTTATCGACATCCAGGAATTACGCAACGAATACTACTTTCACAATGACATCAAGTGAGGGGGACGTCTATGACATGGTTCTAGAGGCTTATGATGGTCTTGCTTTGGTACCCAATGTTACAAGAAAGGCAAGGGTTGGTGCAGTGGTGTCTTTGAGGCTGTTTTGTGGGTGTTCAAGTGGGTTGTGGAATTACTTGATGAGTTACGTGATGAGAGATGACGATAGTGTGCAATCTCTGGCCAGTCGATTTGGTGTTAGTATGGAAAGTATTGAGGAACTGAACGGGATTCAGAATCCAGATAATACCACTGTTGGTGCTCTATACTATATTCCACTGGATTCAGGTTAGTCTTAAATTACCTTGATTTTTTGTTTTCATCTGGTAGTTTCAAAAATTTTAAACAACTCCCTTTCACTTGGTTGTGTGAGTTTTTAATGGTATTGGTAATAGATATGTGGGGCCTGAAGTTTGAAGGAATAGTTTATTGAATACTTTGGAGATACTTATTTGGATGGTTTTGAGAGATGAGAGATGGGTTTTTCTGATGCCTTTTTGTTGTGCAACATAACTTGATATTGTATCTAAGAACTCTATGACTAGCCAAAATCAACAGAATAAGATTATATGTCCACAGTTTAGGGTAGCTGAAACAAGGTATTTGAAACTGAATCTTAAACTTGTTAGTTGTCTTGCTTTGGTTGAAATCTTGGTCATGAACTAAAGTTTGGGTTTGGAACTTGTAAGGAGCTTTGGTTGTCCAAATAATATGAAAGATCTTGTATAAGATGTAAGCTCCCAATGCTAGTATATTTACACAAAGAAATTGGGGAATTCAGTTGACTTGGGCTTCACTCAGTAGGATTGTAGAAAAGTGCAAGTGGTATAGTTTCCGATCAGATGGTTGGATTGCATAATAAGTAATTAAGGATTGTAAAATACAGATTATCAAATGGATGAAACAACAATCTATTGACCTCTTTGTCTTCCCTACTAAGCACAGTCCTTATTCTTGGACTGACTTGGCTACTTGCTTTCCCAGCGAGAAAAGAATGTGAAAAGTAAAGGAAATATTTTGATGGTAAAACGGATTAGACAGATTGTAGGCATTGTCGTGTCAGTCTGTATCTGAGTGGGAATTCTCTCACGATGTGGACAGGTCATGTTAATAGAAAAGGTCAACCCTTGTTAAAAATTTCCAGACGCTGAAGGTAATTTCATCAAGCTTTAGGTCTACGAGTTGAGGGCTTAGCTTCTTTGTTTATGCTTCACTTTTTTAAACTGCAAATCTATGAGTAGGATTTATATTATGGTTGAAGGTGTCAAAGGTTTCCTGATCAATTTAAAGTAGGAAGCTGAAATCAACTGGTTAATTTATTTGCTATTTTAACTCCTTAGCAAGGCTTTGAAGTAGAAAATCTTATTCATTGTTTTTTTTATTAATTATTAACTCAGTGAACAAGTACAAAAGGATCTGGCTTGTTATGGTGTTGTTTAATTCAAACAATTATTTGCTATTTTACCTGCTGGCCATGCAAACTGGATTATACTTTTCTGTCATTTTATTATATTTTACTTTTGCATAAGATTTCCTTATCTAGCAGCATTTTTTTTAATAAGCTGATCAATTCATATTGTAGTTCCTGGTGAACCTTATCTTGCTGAGAATGACATTCCCCCTGCCCCTGCTCCTGCACCACCTCTGGACACTATTTCAGGTATGGTTCGATTCTTTGGTTAATCTAAGTGAAAGAAGTAAACTTTTAGAAAATGAAGAGCAGGTTGCTCTAAATTAAGTGGTTTTATTGAATGATGATTGTGATTTACATTGATGTTAGGTGACAGTTTGCAGTATAAAGAAGCAAAACTTATTTGTGTGAAATCTATTTTAAATATTTTACTTGCAAAATGTCTTTTCTGTAATGAGACATATGAATGGTTGCATTTTTTTGTCAACTGAAATGCAGGGGTTCAAGCTTTTTGTAACAATGAGGATGTTCATTAAGTTCTTTAAACCATGATGATGTTGCTTTTCTGTTTGATTGCATAGAGAACATGTGTGTGCATGGTGCAAAATCCTTAGTGAAAGGAGCTGCATGCAAATGCTAGCTTTTCTTTGGTTTATTTTCTCTTCTTGTGGTTGACTTGGGCAATATACTAGGAATGTAAAAACCATGCTCTAATCAAGCTGGTACAGTTCATTTTGGTCCAACTCAGTATATTAGGTTTTCTACTTGTATACACATACAAGATTTAAAAGAAGTTGGAAAATAAGTGGAATTAGAGTCTTGCTTTTGAGAAATCTTGAGTAGTTTCTGATTTATGATTCTTGGTTCCTTTTACTTTAATCCCGTTAAATATTCCCAATATTCTCCCAATCAAAATAAAGATATATTGCAACTTTATATGAGAAACATAATGATTTGTTTGCTATTTTGTGCAGCAACTCAAGTAAATCACAAAGTTCACATTCCATATGGATGGATCATTGGGGGTGTAGCTGGAGGGCTTGTTCTTATAATATTAGGCATAATTGTTTGTGTTTTCCTGAGGTCATCAAGCTACTTTGCTGGAGCTCATGGAAATCTTGCCAAAGATTCTGATGGCAAGAGTTCTCATAAGTTTCAAATTCTTCAGAAGACTAGTTTTTGTTGTGGTTCAGGAAGGTACATCTGTGGCAAGTCTGGGGATTGGAACCAAACAAATGGGGAACCTAGTAACCACCAGATTACCATACCAAAAGGTTGTAACATTCAAGGCCACATATTTCCTGTGTTTATTGCTATCAGAATTATGCAACAAAAAGAGGAAAAAAAAAAAACTGATGCCTAACCAAGTTATAGATAAAATAAAAAAGAGAAGTAGAATTGTTAAAACCTGTTACACTTTACCTTTAATTAAATTTTGCGTGCCTAGAAGGTATTAGCTTCATGTTATCCGTAAAAAGAGAATCATAGCTTTGTGCCTTTGATGTTGGATATCTTGCAGGTAGCATATTCTTGTGCATGTGCTCTCTCTCTCATTAAATTTGTTTATATAGTGGATCCATGTTGTGAACTGAGTAGTGGATCCTTATTATTGTATATTCTGAACTCAATAAATTTAACGGATGAACATAAATTTAGTGTATTGAAATGAGTTCAGCATGTCATCCTGACTAGATGTTGAATGTCTGACTTGGTATCCTTGTCAATTGTCACAGCCCTGGGGACTGATGTGCTTGATATGGAGAAGCCTGTGGTTTTCACATATGAAGAAATTCTTTTCTCTACAGATGGGTTCTCTGATTCCAATCTCCTAGGCCATGGGAATTATGGTTCTGTTTATTATGGTCTCCTGCGTGATCAGGTCTGATATGCCTATGTCATATCTGAATGCATTGTTTGCATACATAAATAAAAGTAACAACTAACAACAGTAATATTGTTGGACTTGAATCATTGTAGGAAGTTGCTGTCAAAAGGATGACTGCTACAAAAACTAAAGAATTTATGGCAGAGATGAAAGTCCTGTGCAAGGTTCATCATACAAATCTGGTAATGTTCTATCAGCAATTATTCTTTGAATTGTAAAGATTATATTATAGCCTTCCAAGTTCAAAACTTTGACGCCCTTTTGCTTTAATTTTGTCAAAGGTAGAATTGATTGGCTATGCTGCTAGTGATAATGAGCTCTTCCTTATTTATGAATTTGCTCAAAAAGCTTCTCTCAGAAGCCATTTGCATGATCCCCAGAACAAAGGTATTGACGTTTTAGGGTTTATATTTTCCATAGCATTCTGTAAGAATGAGTTGTTGCTCCTTAACTACTACAACTGGTTTTTTACTGTGAACTTTGACCTCATTTGGAGCTGACTGGCTACTGGCCCAAAATATTGGCCATTATACAGGCTTGGATTAGGCTAGGAGTTGAGGTCCTGGGCCTAGGCTTTTCTTGATCTTGATCACTGAAACATTAACTTGAAAAACCTATTCAATTTTTTGCATTGATGGTATTTTGCATTCAGTAATTAAAAGTGTTTATGATATCATATGGACAAGAATGGGCTAGCAAGTTAGGTTCAAACATTTCAAAGATTTTGCTATGTTGGCGGCTGAGCAGGAAGAGCTTAATACAGTGTGCGGCTACATTTAGTTGTCTTTAGACATGTTGATTGTTTAGTTCCATCCTTTAGTATTTGGCTGGTATAGAGGTGCACAAGTGAGTTTAGATATTACGGCTAAACTTTCACCTGTTAAATTCTTTTTTTTTTTTTTTTATTACCTATTATCCTATTAGATGAAGGCACGCACTCTTGATACATCAATTTTTCTTGTGCATTGATGAGTTCTGAATGAACTCACTCATATGATAATTAAATTTGCTAGACCACTAATTTACTTGCTTCCTAGAAGGTCATAGCTCACTTTCTTGGATCATGAGGGTTCAAATTGCACTTGATGCTGCTAGAGGCCTTGAGTACATTCATGAGCACACTAAAGCTCATTATGTCCATCGAGATATCAAGTCAAGCAACATCCTACTTGATGGTTCCTTCAGAGCAAAGGTTCTAACATGTTTCATCTGGCTTCTTGTATTTTTGTTAATTTTGTTAGACAACTATTTAATCTACTTCTGTAATCTGCATCAAGATTTCAGATTTTGGATTGGCAAAACTGGTTGGAAAAACAGGTGATGGAGAAGCTTCGGCAACAAAAGTTGTTGGGACATTTGGATATTTGGCTCCAGAGTAACCACTGATACTGTTAGCCATTTGCATTCACGAGAGTTTTTCCACACCTGAAGTTTTGACTTCTCCACATTGATTTTCTGCTTTCTGCAGGTATTTGAGGGATGGCCTTGCCTCCGCCAAAAGTGATGTGTATGCTTTTGGTGTTGTTCTCTTTGAGATTATATCTGGAAAGGAAGCTGTCATACGAAGTGAAGCCACAACAATGAAAAATTCTGAAAGGCGCTCCCTGGCATCCATTGTAAGTTAGTTGTTGCTCATTGAGGGATATTAGGTCTACAAATACTTAAAACAAGTAAAGAATATTGAAGGTTGGAAAGGTGAAGGTTTTTCCAATATATAATTCATAAGGTGTCTTGTGCTGTTCTTTAAATTGAAATATATGAAACACGGTATTCACTTCTTAACATGTCAAATGCAAAATGAAATGTGAAAAACTTTCATCTTTCTGCCCCTATTTTTTATGTACACGTGGTCTTAAATGCTTATTCATTATTGCATTCGTCTCATGTTTGTTAAATTGCAAAAATGCAGATGTTAGCAACCCTTCGTAATACACCGGACTCCATGAGCTTTTCAAAAATGAAGAATTATATTGATCCTAATATGATGGATCTATATCCCCATGATTGTGTATTCAAGGTAAAATTTTTCTGACCTTTTGATCAAACCAATAGCCATTTTGAGTGAGAAAGGATTCATAGTCAATGGATGGACCTCTCCTATAAAAAAATTGGGAAAGTAAAAAACTGACTTGTCTTCTACCAATATGATGATATGTCAAGTTTTTATCAATACTACATTCAATGGACTACATGGAGATGGAGCATAACCTTAGAAGAAATTGATGACATATTATGATCTTCACGTGGGAAATAGTCAATTGGGGATTTTTCAGTTGTTAGTGGAAGTATTCCTCGAAGTTCTCATTTCTATATCTAGTTATGATTCTAGGTGAACTATTTTGTATTGAATGTTGCATCTTCAAGATACATAAATGCACTTCTATCAAATTTAACTTTGCATATACAGCACAGTGACTTACCATTTCATTTCTTGTGATGATTTGAGGAGATGGCCATGCTGGCGAAGCAATGTGTAGATGAGGATCCCATTCTTCGTCCTGACATGAAGCAAGTTGTGATTTCCTTGTCGCAGATTCTCTTGTCATCTGTGGAGTGGGAAGCAACTCTTGCTGGGAACAGCCAAGTATTCAGTGGTCTCGTCCAAGGAAGATAGCCATGGACCAAGAGCAAGACATCATCTTTTTCTTCACCCAACTCTCTGCCTCTTTATTACAGTTATCTATGTGTATAGTAGCAATGGAAATCGACTATAGCGGCGATATGGTAGTATTTTATCCACTATTTTGATTTGACATCTCTGTTTCCCCTTTGTCTGTTTAAATTGTTTGAGGGTTTTGTAACTTCTGTTTGAGTGGAAAAATTTTGATATAAAATGCCTTAATTTAGCCAAGGAACTGTTTCTTTGTAAACGAGCTATTTGAGTAGCTTGTGTAGCAGGTTTAAGTCCTGAATGCATAAGCTAAATGATATGCAGATTGAAACAACTTCTTCTACTTCACTTCGTTTCAGGTTATTATAAATAGATTTCTTGTACAATCATGAAGCTGATACATTTTAGCTAATTATTTATGCATTCTACCTTGTATTTTATTCTACACAGAAAATAGAGTTCAGCAAGACAGCAGCCTCCAGCCAGTCTCTAAATGCAGAAACTTGGCATCATTATTGTAATAATAGATCAAGGGGCGGAGTAGCAACTGACTGCACAACCTATTTACATAGTGAAGCTAGTACACGGCGAGGGGGGTCAAAAGACCTTCGTGCATGGAGTACAGCCCAATTATCTATAAGTAGAACATCTCCTTTCCTCCAAGGAATGGCAACGCTTTCCTCTTCGAGGATTTTGAGACAGTCGTAGATGATATCAGCTGGCAGTGGTTTTCCATCCCCAAAAGTGACTGCCTTCACAGGATCGTTCCTCGCATCTTCCCATCCTGTATAAGCAGCCACCATGCTATTGAACCAAATTTTGCGTTGCCTTGACTTATCATATTTAATGGCTGGGATTGGACCCATTATTGTCTTCACTCCATCTTCAATCCATTCCAATTTCATATTCAGCTTTGCAGCCCTGTACAACAAGTTATTATAAGATTGTCTTATCTCTAGTCAAGAGTAATTTGGTTCATATAGAATCCATTACATGAAAGATAATTGCATAATATGAACAAAACATTAACAAGAAAGCCCAAAACAAAAAAAAAAAAAAAGAAAAAAAAGAAGGAACCCTCGAGATTGATATAGCACAGGTAGATAATGCAATATATCCTTTTAGGTGCTGTTGATTAGTTATACAAAATAAGTTTCATGGCTGAAAGTCATCTTCAGAGATGACAAGCAAGCTTGCAACTTAACATGATATCAAACATCGATCAATAGGCTATTTATCATTCTGATTCAATAAATAAGTTGCTGAAAATATCGGAATAGAAGTAGCCTAAGCATTGTTAATGTAAGAAAAGGAATAAACTGCCTGCCTATATACATCAAAGCTTGTAATCGACCTTGCAAATGCAATTCATCAAAACCCTTTAGAAACATTGCATTCAAATTACTCTTCTTCTGACATAAGAAAGGAAGTCTTAGGTTGTTACTATATGGATGAACATAATAGTTTGATAACAAGGGTCTAATCTTTTCTGCTTAAACTTGAGTGTCATGTCAAATGCATCTAAACCAACTTCAACCTAAAATGTTTGGGATTATGGGATATGATCAAAAGTGTACCTAATTTGCTAATATTCATATGAATCAACCAAGATTATAGTCTTACAATTAACTAGACCATTAAATAACCAACCTTTCCTCAGCTATGCTCGTGTCTGTTGTCAAGAATGTGGATTTCCAACCGCGGCCAATGGGAGATGAAGGATCATCATCCTCTCCTAGTACCCTTGTATAAATCAACCCATGCTTCTCCAATTGATTAACAAATTCCGGGTATCTCTCTTTCATTCTCTCATACACTACGTGACTAAGAACAATAGGAGTCTCTCCACCACTCCCTGGCTCTACTTCACAAAAGAAGAACAATTTTGAAGGGAATTCCGGGACCTACAAGCAGACCCACAAACCCAAAACCATATTGAGCACTGCAATTCAGTATCTGAATACCTCAACAACGAGTAGACTACGGGAAGGGAAAAAAAAAGTACGCTCATATTTGGATAAAATTACAAAACATCAACTACCTGGGCCATTTCATGATGAAAAGGAATCTTCTGATCTGGAGGCGATTCATTGGCAGTGAAGACCCGACCCACAACGTTTGTCCGTGGTGCGGCCCCACCCACGTACGGCAACTCCTCGAAGCCAAACGCCTCGACGACGTCATTGAAGTCCTTGGCCGTGGCTACAGGGAACCCTCTGAAGAGCACAGCTCCTGCTTTGTGCAGCAGGGAGTTGAGGAACGGCTTCTGGGTCTTGATTGATTCGGTGAAAACGGAGAGAGAAGAGGGAGTCACGGATGGGTTGGGAGACAAAACTGAAGGGAAAGCGGAGGAACTGTAACGTTTTTGGTGGGGAGGGAGTTGGGTTTCGATGAAGAACTGAGCTTTGTCCGCCATTGTTGAAGAAGCTCTCAGTTTTGCTCTGTTTCTCCGTGGCCTGTAAAGAATAAGATCAATTAATCAATAATATAGATAAACAAGAAATTATAGAAAGAGATAATACGAGTTTTTGATTTCCCATGTAGTCGGTTTTTTCGTCTAGGTTCAATGTGACTTTTCTTTCTTATTTTTCTTCTTATTTTTATTTTTATTTTTTTAAAACCCTCCGCTTGTGCTCAAGCTTTAGCACTTATCTTCCGAGAAAACTAATTTCGGAAAAAATGATGGTTTTATAAGTTAAGGGAAAAGTGTTTGTCAGCTTGACCTCTCAAAAATTAGGAGGAAAATCATCCTAAAACTACGTCGTTTCAATAAATTTTTATTGAAAAAGACTAAACTACCCTATTTTTAAAGCATGCATTAAGGTGATATTTGTCCTTTTTCCTCCTAATTTTTGGGAGGTCAGGCTGACAAACACCAACCTCATAAGTTAATTATTTTTTAAAACAAATTCGTAAGAAACCAAATATAAATCATTGTTTTGAGGAGGAAAAAGGCAAAAATATGACATAAGGACCCAAACTTACACCAAATTCGCAATTTCGGACCCAAACTTCGATTGCACTCAATGAAAGTCCCAAACTCCACGAAATTCTCAAATAAGGTCCCAATTGGACGGAAAACTAACTTCCCTCAAATCTCCTATTATTCCGTTAATGTTCCGTCACATTTCACACCCGCCACTTAAAAAAATTGGTTAAATACTAAGTTTGGTCCCTCAACTTCATTGAGTTTCACTTTTTTGTCCCTTAACTTTATTAAATTTCATTTTTTGTCCCTCAATTTCATTAAATTTTACTTTTTTATCCTTCAACTTTATTAAATTGTACTTTTTTGGTTCATAAACTATTTTTTGTACTTTTTTTGTCCTTAAATTATTTTTTTACACTTTTTTAATCCCTTAACTTTAATAACTGCACAATTTTAATACTTTTATTAGTTTAAGCCATTAACTCCATCCACTTGGTATTTTTTTATATTTTTTTGATGGCATATATAATCTAACTGGAAAAAAATGATAACATAAATAAATAAAATAACATGTAAATAAATTTTTATATTAAAGTTAAAGGATTAAAAAAGTGTAAAAAATAATTTAAGGACCAAAAAAGTACAAAAAATAGTTTATGAACAAAAAGAGTACAATTCAATAAAGTTGAGGGATAAAAAAGTGAAATTTAATGAAGTTGAGGGACAAAAAAGTGAAATGTAATGAAGTTGAGGGACAAAAAAGTGAAACTCAATGAAGTTGAGGGACCAAAATTAATATTTAACCAATTTTTTTCAAGTTGCGGGTGTGAAATATGACGGAACATTAACGGAATAATAGAAGATTTGAGGGAAGTTAGTTTTCCGTTAAATTGGGACCTTATTTGAGAATTTTGTGGAGTTCGAGACCTTCATTGAGTGCAATCGAAATTTGGGTCCGAAATTGCGAATTTGGTGTAAGTTGGGGTCCTTATGTCATATTTTTGCCGAGGAAAAATGCAATGACATGTTACTTGATGTCACTGAATCTAAAGGCTCAAATACTATAAGTTAAATTATTTGAAATTACAGAATGATTGAATTTTTGGATTCAAATAATTTGTTTTTAAATTTTAAAATATTTAGATTAGTTCGTTGAAATTTTAAATTTATCTTAAAAAATTCTTTTTCTCTAAAATTTATAAACTATTCAAAAAATATTATTTATAAAAATTTTTATAAATAAAGGGACTCAATATCGAGGGGAAAATTTATTGTATTTTAGAGATATTATACTTTTTTTAAATGTTAAAACCTTATTTTGGTTCTTGAATTATTGTACGGACCCCCGATTTGATCCCTAAATTAAAAAAAATTCTTAATTTGATCCCTACTGTTTACCATTTTTACCCCGTTTTGGTCCTTCCGTTAAAATCTCACCATTATCTCACGACAATTTAATGACATGGCAAACATTTGAGACACGTCAGTTGTATAAATGAATAAATAATGACATTGCAACGTGACATGTCATGTTTTTGTCTAACCCAACAAAAGTTGGGCCTACCAAAATTACGAATTTGCCATTATCTTCTTCCTCCAACAAATAAACCCAGCACCTGGGTTGAATCGAACCCAACAATGCCCTTTTTTTTTTCTTTCCTCTTCCTTGCCTTGCTTTCTTCATTATCATCAAACACCAAACTCACAGAAAAAAAATATATTTTTTTTACCCCTGGGTTCCGTTGAACCCATGCTTGGGTTCGACGGAACCCAGGGTTGGGTTCCATGGAACCCAGCCGCAAACCAACTGGGTTCGAAGAACCCAGGTGTGGGTTCGAGGGAGCCCAGCGCTTGGGTTCCTTCGAATCCAACTGGTTCGCCGGTGGGTTCCATGGAACCCACCGCCTGGGTTCCTTGGAACCCGGTGGAACCTAGGCGGTGGGTTCGAAGGAACTCAAGCCTGCTGGGTTCCGAGGGGAAAGAGAAGGGAAAGGGGAAGGAGAAAGGGAAAGGGAAAGGAGAAGGAGAAAGAAAAAAGAAAAAAGAAAAAAGAAATTTAAATTTTATTTTTTATAATATTTTTTTATATTATTATTTTTTCCACATCATCACTTTTTGGCTATATTATCTTACACGTGGATCACTGCATGACATGTCATTTGGTAACTGTGAAATAACAGGCGACGTCATACAATTTTTAACAGAAGGACCAAATCGGGGTAAAAATGGTAAACAGTAGGGACCAAATCAGGGATTTTTTTAGTTTAGGGACCAAATCGGGGTTCCGTACAATAGTTCAGGGACCAAAAAGGGGTTTTAACCTTTTTTTAAAACAATTTATAATTATTTACAGGGATAATTAGAAGAGGAAAAAAAAAATTTTGTGAGGTTTAAACGTGCAACCCATCAAAAGTAAACAATTCTAACATAAAGTTCAATATCACTATAATGAAGCGGATACTAATGGTGCTGCTCTTGATCAATTATAGCATGCTTTATTAACAATTGTTTTTCCACCTCTGCCACCAGGTTAGCAAATTTTTTTTTTTTAGTTCAGCGGCATCCATTAATGAGATGAAAAAAATTATTGGTGTGATATGTTTTGATTGGTCAAGAAAATTGCTAATTTAGTATTTTTAAGATACAATAAAATTTTTTTAATATGAAAAAATCTCATTTTGTTCATATAAATTATTATTTTATAATTTAAAATAATTTAAATTATGAAACAATATTTTCAAAAATTATATTTGTATTACCAATGACTTAAATAATATAATATTTAATTTTTTTTGGTTAAAAATAAAAAATTTTAAATTTGAATCGTATGATTTATGAGTGGATTAAAATAAAAAATAAAAAATTGTTAACCCTTGCAACCAAAATTTAAAAAAAAATTATATTTTTATTTGCCTAGCATTTAAACTCTAAACATGACTGAGATTTTATTAGTGGATACAACCTTGAGTTTATGTGACTTTTCAATATCTCGTGATATGATGGATTTAACGCCGGATAATAAGGAGTCCGTAAAGCCCAGCCCATGATGTGTTTTCAACCCGATCCGGTATTCTCCATTCGGATCCTGAATTTGAAATCCCGCCCCGTCGAGAGCCAGAGTGGGAATTCAAAAGCAGAGAGAAGAGAAACTTCTGAAGAGAGAGAGAGAGAGAGAGATGCCGGCGAACGGAGGGAAATCGAAATCGAAATCGGTGAGGAAGCCACTGAGAGAATTGTCGAACAACGGAAATCGAAATGGAGGAGGAAAGTTCTCGAAACCTGAGAATCTGAAGAAGAAAAACTCCGAGAAAGAGAAGGAAAACGATGAGTCGCTCGATCGCCTCCTGCTCGTACAGTCCGATCTCTCCTCTCTACTTCGCCAGGTAAAAGATTTGTACTGTATGTGGTTTGCGCATCTGGAAAGACCAACCTTTGTAGAGATGCCAATGGAAATGAAGACTGAAGGTGTAGTGTTTAGATATTATGTTTGCTTGCTGAGAAACTGAAGGAAAATTACTTAGAATCCGAGATTTTATCTTTGGTAATCATCATAGCTTCTTTATTAGTGATTTTGATTAGAGATTGCTTGTGCCTTTTCATAGATCATGTTTGGACCTTTGAAATTGTGCTGTTAAAGGTAAAATTTTGCGGCTTTTTTGTGCGCATTTCTTTGCCTGTATTGTTTGGTTTCAAAATCTGTGTTAAGCGTATTACAGTAGCTGTATATGGTTATGCTAGTGTGTTCGGTAAGACATGTAGAAATTGATAACTTATTTGCACAGTGGATGTATTTGTTCTCATGTTATTTTTATCTAGGTTGTAACATTTTCCTGCAAACATCTTTTACTGGTTTGTCTTTGTGCAGTACCAAAGTAGCTCTACTCTAACAGTTGCCATCATCTTCCACCTATATATTGTTGAGTTTTGACTGATTTATGAACTCAATGGCAGATTGATGAACTGGTTGTGCAAGCATTTAAACTTAAGGGGACAGACAAACAGGGGGGAAAAGAGATAGAAGTTTTCACGAATTTCTTGTCTGAAATGCTTTCCTCATTAAAGGTTAATCCCTAGTTTTGTTATCAGAATATATTTCTTTGGTATTTTCGTTGTACTACTTAATGGATTATCATGTTCCACGATTGCAGCCTTGGGTGCCTAGATTTGAGAAGGTGATTTTGGGTCCTGCTGAGCCTGAAGATCAGCCTGTTCAAGGTTTAGCAAGTGTATCTGTTGGTTTTGTGAAGGAAGATGAATCCTTTGAAGTGGCAAGTCCAGAACAGACCAAGTGCGAGTCATTGATCTCTCCTTCTCCCCTTGTATCTTGGCGTGCTGAATGTAATGTTGAAAGGGGTAGACAACTTTTTCTGCTTACACCTCTACCTATGTCAAAAACATTGTCTTCCAAGCGTCAGGATCATAAGCCTTTGGATTCCATATTGGCTGGGATGGCTGAAAAGGGGAAGACAGTTACATGTGAGCTTGACTCTTTGCCAATGTTTCCCGAAGGAGATCATTCCATGCTCATCATGACTCCATGCTTAAAAATGTCACCTCCTAAATCTTGTGTACTGCTTGAACCCATTTGTGAGTCCTCTCATGGTGGTGGTGATGACAGAGTTCGCAAGTCCACACCATTTCCTTTTGGAGTTGGATTAAAAAATTTCAGTGCTTCTTCTGAGTCTTCTGACGGCGAAGCTTTGGATGATCTGACTGTGAAGTATCCTGAACTACTAGGCATAAGACAGACTTATAAATCAAGAATTGAGAGAGAGGAACTTGATGCTTCACCCAAGTGGTTATTCTCACCTCCTAAAAGTTGTGTCTTGTTGGAGCCGCCTGATGAGAAATCTTTAAGCAATATTGCCATGGATCACCACTTGTCCATCCCTTTTGCGGCAGATCCGAAAACAGACTTCCCTTCATCAAAAGCAGATAATCCCAAAGATGCTTTTCCTAAAACCGTGATGTCAAACCAAGGTATATTCATTTTTTTCTCTTAGGTAGCTACCCAAACACTGTATTAATCAAAAGTTTATCTCATCTTCTTCAGGATACATTAGCAACAGTTTGTTGCACATAGAAAGTACTCCATTGTGGAAGGAACCTGAGAGCACAATTCGGACAGGCAAACGTCCTGGTGAGAGCACTCTGAAGAAGGAGCTTTGGACAAGGTTTGAAGCAGCGTCAACTTATGGACTTCGTCATACTGCATCTGCGTTCCCAAGAACTGTTCAGAAAGGATTTCTTGACATGCTGGATGAGGTCTCTTGCGATGAAGAAACTCCAATTTCAGATGGTTTGAGATAACAACACTCTGTCTGACAATTTTGTAAGCTGTATATGATCGCATCTGTTGTGTTCTGCAATGTTGAAGGCTTGGGTAAGTGCTGTTTCCTGGTCATTATTTTGTAATCTGCTTAATTTGTTTCAGCCCATTACTTTTCATCGGACATTGCTTTACCAATTAAATAAATATGATGATGCAAATTCTGACTATTCCTCCTTCATCTCATCATTATATTTGCAGAGGATATTGCGAAAACAAGAATTTTTATTTTGGCCAACCTTTTTATACAATACTACCATTCCATCCATTGGAAGTACCCGAAGAAAGAACCTATTTTTTCTCCACAGTATATAAAGAACAATGAAGAATGCCTATACGCTAACCAGACTCAGACGAACTCCTATTCATCCTTTGTAAAGAAATGGAAATTGACACTACCCATACAGGATTGCAACCCACATGCAGCAGTCTGCAGATATAAATCCTATCTAGTCACTGCACAACAGCTACAAAAATTTGGGTGCATTTGTTGCATCCACCTTTCAATCTTCACCTCCACCATACTGATCAATATCTTGGTGTCGTGCAAGCTTGTGTGATCTTCCAAGGCCATCTTCAGTGTCTAATCTTCCCATCTTTGAGTTAGAAACAACGCCCCTTGAATTGGGGTAAATCTGAAGGGCAAACCAAGGAACAATGTTCAGAAATTAAAACCCAATTCATACACAATGTTATCTTTATTCATGGCTTCAGGACCATACCTCTTGAACTTTTGGTTCTATGACTGCAACATTTGGTCTCTTCCTAACTGTCACACTAGAAGGTATAGGAAAATGTTCAATCTCATCACCAGATCTGGCCCTCTTTTTTCTTAAATTTAAGTTCTGGGGAAGAGGCTGCAACACGAAGAAAATGTGTAAAGCCCAAGGAGTAATAGACAGAATTTCTGAACCACCACATAATGGAAAAGAGGAAAATCCTGATTAACTGTACCACATAGCGAGCTATTCCATGATTAAATGAAACAAGGAAATTTTTAGGGTCATCTGCATCATCACCTCGTACCTGTAGAGTGTAGAGGTGTAAGAAGGTAAAAATTTCACTAATCAAATTAAGTGTTAACTTGGTGCATAACAGTACAAAGATCTCAATACATACATCCCAGTGGTACTTGCGGATCCAAGAATAAGATACATCTTCATCTTTGTCATAGATGTCTTCTGATAGCTGCCACCATCACAAAACAAATATTTGATTGACAAAACATAGTTAGAACAAACATAATGAAGTTTATCATCTTAAAACTGGAATGCTGATGGGCATAAAATAAATTTCCAAGGTAATCCAGTGCATTTTTACCTCATCCACAGAGGGGACCATGTAAGCTAAAAATCTCTCTGGATTAGCTTGATCCAAGCCTATTGCAGCATAGCTTTTCAACACAGCCTGAAATATAATATGAAGAATGAACTGCACATACAAAGCATCAACAGATTATTTGTCCCACAACCCTTTCTCAGTTTTTTAATTTTTTTTTTCCTCAACTATACCAGAACTTCTAAGCAATTGGGTAAGGGAGCACATATGAAAATGACAATAGCAGTTAAAAAGCATGTTTAAAACATCAATGATTCTTGCTACTCACCTTTGCTTCGTGATCATCCCGAACAGAACTTTTCAGCTTGCCATAGATTTCCGAATCAGCCGTAGGAGCATTATCAAATGACACTAAGACAAATTGATCATTTTCCCTGTAAATAGCACCACCACAGACAACTGTCATGAATTTTGGAATGAATCTAGCTTCGAGCATGAGCTATAGCACATGCTTGATTCAATTTAGGTCCACAACTGATATCTGGTAATATCATCATAACTCAAAATATTCTCTTTCAAGAAAGAACTTCCAATAGTGATATAGCCTACCTATTTTATGCGGCTATAAAAGCTAGATATTTAGAGAAAACAAGATAGTAATCCAACATCCGTAATAACCAAGGACTGTTCAGCAAAAACAATATAAGAGCTGGTCCCATGCATATTCATCATGACCAAGTAATAACAAGTGTAAATATGTGAAAGTGTGGGTAGGGCACAAGCACACATACTAACATGACAAATTGGCTCGAGGCCATGTATGACAGTATGAGAGCAAAAAGATGGCAAAAGCAATAAATGAATTCCATACCGATCAAAATCTGGAAGTAAAGGTGTAACTTTGTCAGGTTTTAAATTTTTATTGGTTGCATGAACAAGAGGCAACTTGGAAACTTCAAATGATGTCTCAATTGCTTTTATTTGTCTTTCCCTGATAAAAGTAGTCAAAATTTCCAGTAAGTGAATATGTGCCAATTAGTTGGTTTCCAGCAAAACTTTCATTCACACAGACAGGTTGAATTAAACAAACCTGTTGTTAAGGTTCTCCAAAATGTTCCTCCCTCCTTTCATTTCTCGCAATTCTTTCACTTGCTTTTCAGTTAGAGACTGTAATTGCCGAGGAATTTCACCATGCATGCAGCAATCATCAATATTTGTGAAGAAATATCAAACATGAATGGCATGCTTAACAATTACCTGCTTTACTGATTCCATACTAAGCGGAGATATATACTGGGTTTTAACTAGCCAAGATACACCTTTATCAGTGGGCCTTTCTTTTCTTCTTATTCTATCTTTCTTTACTGGGGTAACAGCCTCATCATCATGCAAGAGTTCCTCATCTTCTGGAGCAAGAGGTGGTCTAACACTTGGTGGACTAATTAAACAAGCAGAAAAGAGGTGATTGGAACTTTTGTATAAAACAGTTTTTTTTTTTTTTTCTTGGAAAGATTTTGTATAAAACAGTTGATTGTAAGAAAGAGCCTGAAGCAGTTAAAGGATGTTACTTGTAAACACTGAGATCAAGTAGGTCAAGACTTATCCCAAGATCAGGCTCGACAAAGAGTTGGGGCTTGTACAATTCCTCGAGAGATGTGATAGTGTATTTTGTGAATCTGCAAAAACATAGTTCAGAATTTACCATGAAAAATTCAAAATGAGATCCAATCAGGAAACACAGAAATATCAACTATCAAGCCAACACTAAGACAATCTGCACCTCAGGCTTTTCAAACAAAACCTTAATATATAGTTTAAACCATCAGATGTCCAATAATGCATTTCCCCAAAATGAACTTAATAAAATGTAAAGACCCCCACACCTGTGAACCAGAGAACAATCGTAGGCAGACACAACATCAACAAAGAGAAAACCTGGAAATAAGATTATGCCCACATGCACAACCACCTACAAATTTAGATGTATCTACAAGGTCATGTAGAGTAAGCAGTAATGTTTGAAACATTCCATAATGAAATTTGAGAAATAAAAGCTAGTGCATACTGATCTGTATCTTTCTGCCAGGCCATAAGCTTTGGTTGTGCACTTGGATCTGGAAGTTCATTTCGGAATCTTCAAGGAGCACAAGAGAGAATCAGCAATACAAGTTAACAATGTAAATATTGGCTGCACCGAAAATATGACAACCAATACATGCTTACTTACATGATTGATCATATACAAAAATAAAGAGTACAGAAAATAAGTAAAATAAATATCCAAAAAATGTTTTATAGTCCAGAATGTTCTAGACGGTAAAACAGTGGATTCAATAAATGAATAAGCAAGTTGCAAGAAGAAAATGAAACCAAGTACATTGTTACACAAAGGAGAGACACTTTTGAAAGTGTTCTCCTTTCCATGTAGAATTTGAACTAAATATTCCACTTTTCTAATAATTATTATACAAAGCCAAATGACTATAATTGCAAAATTACTCATCTGTTTTACAGGAAAGAATAAAACTCAATAACTTTTAGTTGTTTCCAAAACTGTACATCCATAAGAAGACAGCATGAAGGAGTAACAGAATGAACCCAGCAACTTAAAGCATAAGGGAAAAAAAAAAAAAATGCACGCCACATAGTGATAGGGGCATTGCCTAAAAGGTTGCCACGCGCTTCTGCAAAGAGGAGATCCCAATTTCAAATCGTTCCTCCAAAATATTAACTAAAGAAAATGGGGAAAGAAGCCAAACGCAAACTTCCCACTATATAATAAACTTCATAATCTTGATTTTCCGTTTGGCTTCAGTTTAAAAATTGTGCGTGTTCGACGGAGGAAACAATATTTCAACATACTCACTTTAACTTGCACAAGAAAGCAGTCGGCTTAGTTAACCTATTCTCAATTCTCTTGGCCCTCCTATCCCCCATTGGCGACCCAACTACGGACCCATGGCCCTTCCCAGAGGACGTCACCTGTGTCTTATGTAACACAGAGTTCTGTGATTCCTTCATCTGCTGGTGGTGGTAACTTGAATTCGGATTGTACTGATGAGGGAATGAAGAGTTTGGGGTATGGCGGTGCTGTTGTGGTGCAAGAGGATTCTAGTTTGGTGGTGGCGGCGGCTGTGGAGGAGGGAATGAATGATGAATGTGAAAAACGAAGCGCACAGACGTGGACAATTATCACCTGCATGTAAAGCCCAAAACTGCAGATAACCGGATGTTAGGGCTTAGAGCTTATTTTTATACTAACCCGTGTCTAACAATCATATTGAACTTTAGTTAACATGGAGTTCGAGGTGTATTAGATTTTATAAAAAAAAAAATTTCTTAATATTTATTTTTTCATTCATAATATTTAAATTCAAGAACTATTATTTATAAAGGTTGTGAATGAAGTCATGTAAGTGAGATTTTGGGTGTAGCCTTTTCTAAGTAATTAGAGTGTATTCGAAAGGATATTTTTGTCAATCATCAGTCTTCAGTATTTAGAAAATATATATATATCTAAGATTAATATTTATCAATTAGGCCTTTAAAAAAATTAGGTAGAAAAATACTTTAAAATTAGTCATTTTGATAAAACACTACCAAAAAAAACTAAAATATCTTCATTCCTATTTTAAAAATAATTAATATATTTTAATTTTTAAAAATAAAATTTATTAAAATAACATAATTTTAAAATATTTTTCTATCTAATTTTTTATAATAAGGGCTCAAACCGTTTTTCTATATATATATATATATATATAGGAAAATGATTTGTGCACAACCGGGTCAAAATCCGGATGTGCACACTCCTCATTGAAAAAAGAAAAAGCCCATCACCACCCGGTCCAAATATTTTCTTTATGTGGGGGTGCACACCCGGATGTTGGATTCAGGTGTGCACCAATCAAGGTCCATATATATATATATATATCAATATTCACTTATCAACTACAAGCTATAATTTACTTTTAAACAATTAATTCAAATGAGCAATTATCCTCTTTTACTTTCTCTGTATATGCGTATACAAAAATATTATAATTAGAATATTATATAATATTATAAATTTATAATATAATAATTATTAATTATTATTTCATTCAAAAATTTACTTCTAATATTATATATTTATTAATTTAATGTCATGACATAATTATAAATTGGTAATAATATATAACATTATCATAATTATAGTATTCTTTGATACAAAGTGGATTTTTGGATCCAATGATTTGTTCCTAAACCTTAGTAATTGAATTTAATTAATTAGAAGTTTGATTCTTATCAACAACTTGAAAAAATATCTCTCAATCCTCCAAAATTCTCCTTTGTTCAAAAAAAACAAAAAGAAAGAAAAAAATTGTAGTATTCTCCGAAACCTATATGAAACAGGCCACATCAGCCCAGTCTGCTTATTGCAAGGGTTGGGCTTGTTCAATTCAGAACATACACAAGTGCAAACCCAGCAGCTCAAGAGCACTAGGTTCTTTTAAACTTCCGTAAATCAAGAGCCCAAGATTCACCATTTGGAGTAGTCCATGCTAGCAATTTTTTAATAAAAAAAATTCGTTAAAAGATTCATTTTTGCCAGAAAGGGAAATTTTATTTAATGTTAAAAAATATATCATGAGGTAGTATAGTGCACATCACCATCTCAAATTGTTTTCAGAGAATTTGTGTAAAAAATCACTTTATAATTAATATTTTAAAAAATTAATTGTTAAATTAAATATTTTATTTATATAAATTACAAATCTTAATTTTTAAATCAATCTAACGTTTATAACATTTTAATTAAAGAATCCTATTTCCTTACATAAATTTAATAGCGTTAAATATTATGTAATTAACAAATTAATTACGTTTATTAAATTAATCTAAAAATTAACATAAACTCAACATATAATTTATATAAATAAAACTTTTAATTTAATAATTAATTTTAAAAATATTAATTAAAATATGATATTTTTAGAGATATTTTCTGCTAAGAATACCCTACAAAACACTATTCCGTTGTCATAGCATTGTCATTATTTATGAACTTTAGTACAGTATGCATAGCTTACATGCAACCCAACCCCAAAAACTAAGA